AATACGAACGTTTGTTTCTTGAAAATTTGATCACGATTTAAATACAGTATTTACTTTTAATATTACCGATATGTCATCGAAAAGAAAACGTGTTGTATTATCATTAAAAGACAAATTAAAGTATTTGTTTCGATTATCCGGATTTTTCCTTATCCGGACTACCTTCATCCCCAATTAGTCCGGATAATCGAGGTTCTACTTGTATTTAATTTTAAAGTATTCATATTTAACAAAGTATTCATGAATATGAATTTGAAATAAGCACAAAAATTGAGTATGATGGTATATTAATATCAAAAGTAACCAACCATACAAGTCGTACATTTTGAAGGAAAATAGTACATTTTTTGAAGGAGCTTCAGTACGTTTTGAAATTTCATTGTGGCAACGCTGCTTGGAATATTTTTTGACCCAAAGCTCAGTTGGCACCATCATGTGAATGAAATTAGCAAGAAAACGAGTCAAAGAGCCAACCTCCTCAATTGGATTATTGGAAAACACTGGGGATTAAACTTTACAAACAGCAAATTAATTTATAAGATGGCAATTGAGCCACCTATTTTATACGCTATCCCTGTATGGCAAGACGCACTTAACAACACACATGTTTGCAAAAAATTACTGTCGATACAGAGAAGAGCAGCAATAAGAATTACTTGTGCTTATCGAACAGCTCCGACAGATGCAATACTGGTACTGGCTGGACTAGTGTTAATACATATCACGGCAAGAAAAACAGTTTAGAATTGGCTCTGCACTAATATTCGGCTACACAGTTACACACAGGAGGATATTGAAAAACGTATTAAAAATAAAATGATTCCAAATAGCTGATATTATTAAAAAATATGAAATTGATAGAACTAGTAATGATATATGCCCCCAACTACACCCAGCAGACATGCACAGCTACGAAATAAGTTTCGATTATAATCCCGAAACAAACAGATACTTTCAGTGGATAGTGTACACAGATGGTTCTAAGCAAGAGTGCGGAGTGGGAGCTGGTGTGTGCATTCAAAACAACAACAATAAGACAATATATCAGGCCAGATTAAAACTTGCTAAACATTGTAGCATTACGCAAGCTGAACTATGGGCCACTTACAAAGCAATCACCCAAATAAAAGATAACTTAAATAAATACAAAAGTAACATAAAATTCCTTATTGACAGTAAGGTGGTTCTCCATGTCTTGGCAAAAACTGAAAACCTCACGCTACTGGGCAAAGAAGTTATTAAAGTAGCACAATATCTCAGTACTACCCGCAATATTCAATTCAATTGGATACAAGCTCATAAAGGACATAAAGGAAACGAACTGGGCGATTCTTTGGCCAAAATGGCTGATACTCTCAAGACCCGATACATATACCAGGTTACCAAAATCAACACTGAAAAATTTCTTAAACGAATGGGCACTACTTGAATGGCAGGAAAATTGGAATAATTCTACAACGGGGAGACTTTGCCACCAGTTTATTCCCTCTATTACTAATCGCTTCAAGGCTAATTACTACAAACCTAGATCCGAAACCACCCAATGTTTAACGGGGCACGGCAATTTTATGGCCTACCTCTACCGCTTAAGAAGAGAAACACTGATAAATGCCGGTGCGACAATAATAGTGTAGGAGATGCCATTCATTTTATATTCCACTGTGAACGATATGAGGATCAACGCATTCCATTCTATAGGGAATGCCTTCAAGAAGGTCATAATTGGCCACCAACAATACAAAACATTTTTGATAAGAAAAATCTCTGGAAGTGTTTTGAAAGGTTTATTGACAGCACCAGGTCTCTTCTGCCAGACTTCTACAGGAAAGAAAAAAAATCTTCAGAATGAAAACAAGAACAGACAAGATGAGCAGGAAGACAGTGAAAAATCGGAAAAGTGATGTTATCAGCGATTGATTGATCGGCCGTGTAGAATTCTTCTGTACATAATTTAGTTGTCTAGTATTAGTTTAGTTTTAGATTCTAGATTAAAAAAAACAATTCCCATTTATATTTATCGGGTCCTCACGTACTGTACAGTACCGTGTAATCTGTATTATTATATCATAGTAAGCTGATATTTACATTCTCTCTACGTGTTAAAGTTGTAATCAGTTCTTAATGTTATTGTAACATTGCTGTGTTCAAGGTTAATTTATACCTACCCATATGTAATGGGTTTTGCATTTTACTGTAACCGGACCATTTCTCGTAATTGTTAATACTGTATAACGATCTTGTCAACTTTTGTAATTTTGGTTATTAATAATTTACGATGCAGCGTTCTGAGGTCCTGATAACTTTTTTCAGCGTTACTTTTTCTCTTTTCCTTTATACTTCTCCCTTCAGAACCCTTCCTTCAACCTTTTCTTCACCCCTTTCTCTTCCTAGTGGGCTAAGTTTGCAAAAGCAGACAGCCCTTCCTCCTCCTTTATTATTATTATTATTATTATTATTGACAGATTGAAGCTAACCTCAGAGTTCTAATATTGTGAATAAATATTTTCTGATTCTATAACGTTGAAAAATTAATGAGTTTATGCACTTAATTTGTGTTACGTAGAGTTTATATATTGTTTTTCTATAATCTCCATATAATTCTGAATTAGATTACTATTTTGATAACTATCAATAAGAAAAAGTTCTAAACTTTATGAAAATAATTGAAAATTTATTATTGATTTTTGTTTGGTTTAAATCACTACAATTTTGAACATTAAGTTACGCGTGTGATTTTTTCACTAAAATTAAAATTTTAATCACATATTTAAAATCTATACGAGCAAACGAATCAATATAGAATAAATTTCAAAGGAACAATCGTGAACTAAAAAGTATTTAAACGTGTTTAACGTTGAAAATGATTCTTAATGATACTTTTTCATATGTTCTTGCAGAGAAAGTTCGTCGTCAAATTTAACTTGACACAAGACACACTCCAATTCATATCGATCGATTCTTACTTCTGGGAACAGATCGAAAGATGTCGATGGTACCACATCTGTTTCGAAGGTAGTGTCTTCATGGATGTCTTCAGGTTCATGTGATATGTCACTCGTCATTCCAGAAAGGATTTCTTCACGTTGTTTTCGTTCTTCGTCGGAATCGATTGCTGCACTAAAACACGGATCAAATTCTTTTCTTTTCCTCTCACTTGTAACGTCTTTAATATCGTCTTTTATATCCTGTAAATGTATTCGATAAGATTCACTATATACTCTCTATACATCTTTAGTATTTTTCAAAATAAATGTTTGCGTGTGTAATACAAAAACTTGTAATGATTTTACATTCCTGAATATGTATAAATAAAACATTATTCACTGCAGCTGCTGAATGACTGTTGCTTTCTTAATTTGTCATTACATATTTCGGGCTATTCAAGGAAGGAGCATGAAAACACTTTGTTATTGGCTCGCGAAAATATTTCATTACAATTTGAAAAAACTATTGACCTATAAATTCCCACTATCATTTCTCTGTCCGTCATTCATTGCATAATTTCGATAACGGAGTTTGATATGAAAGTCATAAGGGCAGGTGGTCCCGATTAATTTTGTTTAAAATTTCATAATTAAATATACTCGTATTTCGTTAATAAAACTATGTAAAAAGTGTTTAAAAGTGCTTTTTAATATACGTTAATTTATTACATTAGTTCATTTTAATCATCTAACTTGTGTCGCAAGATTATTTTCACGGAGGCACTTTCCTCAGTAATTTCAGGTGAAAATAAATGTATTTTCACCTTTTTAAATTCACTGATGTATTTAGTTTATTTTGATATCTTGACATACATTACAACAACGGAAACTTCTCTATTTGTTTAAATAATTTGACGGATTTCATAAGTTTCTTTTTATAAAGACCCAATGATGCCTTTTATATTGAATTAAATATAAACGACGAAACGAGAAAATGGAATAAACGTTTGATAAATAATTTGAATGGAAGGAAAAACGTGAAAAACAGAATCGGTAAATTCTTGAATTTCAAATTATGACAACACAATGGCTTTATAAATTCTAGCGAGAGTTGCCTAACTTTCCGACTTCTATAAGATTTTATTCTAAATGTGTCTATTTAATAATTAATCATAATAAATACATAAAATTTTATATGGCGTCACCTATTACGAGATTTTGTAATAAATACTTTGTATATTTTTAATTATTATAAAACAACAAAGAACTTAATATTAAGGGTAGAGATGAGTTTTATAAAGATCTGTAAATGCTAAAAATAACTAAAATCTTTATTAAACCCAACTTCACGCCAGATATGACACGTGATTACACACTTTCTCTTTGGTGAGAAAAGGTCTCTCTTCAAGTTTTATCACAAAAATTTGATACCAATAATGCCTTTTATACGCAAGCTACCGTATAAACTTTCGTGTTGTCATATTAAATGAAATAGACGTCAACACAAACACAGACAACTTCCTTACGCACACACGTCCACGAAATGTTTAGAAATCGTTTTTTTTTAGTGTTCAGGAGACCTCAAAACGTGGAGATTTGCAAATGACGTGCTCGGTAAATTTGACACGATTCCCATACTTTCTCCTGTCATGTACACATAACAGCAAGAATACGTAATACAGGAAAGAGGGAAAGGGTCAATAAACAATTCCGGGACAAATTATATCCGAACGATCGAATTTCTTATATTCTAAGTCTTGTTATACCCTGAAACGACCTATCAGTGGAAAAGCGGTTCCATTTCCTGTACACTGGATGCGCTGGCCATGTGTCGTTTTTTGGGTTTTCTGCATGTTTGTAACGCCTGATAATAAACAGATGCCCTTGAAAAGACTTCCCGGAAGGCATCCTACCTACGCAAAATATCAAGTGTTGCGTTTCTGTAACCTAACAAACAAGCAAACACCTGGAAACACAGTAGTAATTAATTGCGAAGCGAAGCAGAAAAATCTAAACAAATCACAATCACTTAATCCGCTAAAATCCTATTTAAACTGTGGACTCGAAGACACTGAGATTTTTCCCACAATTGTTTTCATGTATGTACAGTACACTCTCAAGCTGTCTTTTTCCGTAACTGCTTAAAGATAATGCAAGTTCTAACCTTTTATTTTGTTCCCGTATTCTCCAGCTTTTCGTCTGAGACCATTGAAATCTTTAAGCCACGTACCCTGGATCCTCATCCAGGAATATCATACATATGCCGACGTACAGACATTTTTCATGTCATTCCGGACAATTATTGTAAGCTTCTTCTTGTTTATAATAAATGTTGCGTTGCCCACATTACTACATATTTACCCACATCATTCATTTACTCTGAATGGGGGACGAATTATCTAACCGTGGCCTTTAATTTGTAAGGCGACACATTCACTTAATGTAACAAAAACATTAATTTTAGATGTTAATAACGAGTAGTATATACAAAGAGTGTTCCATAAGTTTAAGTACAGAGGAATTATGTTGAATATTGATTATTTTCTTACAAATAAAAGCATGGTCTTGAGTAAGGAAGAATTAACTAACGTTATTTTCATGGTAAACACACACGCTAACACAGAGACGACGATACTACAACGAAAGTAAATGGCTCTTGTTTAAAATATTTTAGTTAAACTTTGTGTGCAGAGTTGTTATTTAAAATGAAATGTGTATCGAAATTAAAACAGCACCAAACTACTGCGAAGGTCGAATACATTATTATTAAGAGGGCATCAGAATTTTGAAATATGTTAGTTTACTTTTCAATGGAATACCTTAAGAACGAGTTATATGAAATAGTCTGCTGTGTCACAAAAGAAGACATTGCAATGAGATTATACGCACATTTCGAAATTCAAAAATCTCAAGAACGAAATCGGCGTAAAATAATACAATACGAGCGCGAGAGAAAAGACACCGATATTTGCTCCGTGTGAACACAATGAAATCATCGTTTTTTAAATTATTTAATAAATATTTGTGTAAATCCGCGAATATATCTGCATAATTATTAAATAGAAAAACAAAAATTGTTTTAGAAATTCTCATTTAATCGTAATTAGAAAATGAAGTTTCATCAATAAAAACATCAAATTTGAAGAGTTAATTTTAATCTCTCGTCTTAGATACACGAAACGACACACAAACATTATGATACAGACCAATTATCGAATGATCCGTAGTTCATTCAAAAAATGCTCAGTCTGAGCGTATTAATGGCTGTTATTAGACGAAGAATTCAAAATGGTTCTATATTTTTAACCAGGAATTTCTTGTTAATTACGAAGAAACTTATTTACTCGGATTATCGAATTAAACAAATACACGTGTGTAAAATATGTGTGATTAATAAATATTGAAACAATGCTTGCTGGTTAAATGGGTGAAGTTATTGACATTTTTTCATTCTAATAGTCGGTTGTGAGTTCACTCATCAACACATTTATACAATTACCTGGGAGCAAGATGGACTTTCTTCTCCAGGATGGAACCTTCTGATGTGTTTGTTTAAGTTATGTTTGTACAGGAATGTACTGTTGCAAAAATTACAAGTAAATGGCCATTCTCTGTTGTGAGTTCTCAAGTGGATTTTTAAAGCACATAAATCTTCATAAGGTTTTCTGCAAATGTGACATATACGGCTTTGTATCTTCGGGTCATCTGCTGGAATCTAATCATTCATTGAGTTTTCAATTGAATATTTACAATATATAACACACGAAACGTACCTCTTTAAATGCAAATACTTCATGTCAATTATTTATTTAAAAAAGTCGTAAATCGACTTTCACGATTTATTTCATTGTCATGTCGGAATTTTACTAAACTATATGTATAGGAAATTATTTTATAAAAATACAGCTTATAAGGTGTTGCCGAGTAATATTATTAATTTTATTATTGATATTAGCAATTACGCACAGTCGTACAGGTCTTATCGACCGTAATCTAAATTCAATCTTAATAATATTATTCGTATTTTTAACAAAATAACAAACATGAAGTAATTTAATGACACCGTGAACAATAAAGAAGACGTTTATGGTGTTTCTACTTTATAAGAACTTTTCGTAATATTTACTTTAGATAAAATCTCTTGAGGATGCAGTCTATACATGTGTCGTTCTAAATTCTTTTTCCATTTAAAGCTCCATCCACAACCTGTATAATTGCACTTGAATGGTCTTTCATCCGAATGCGATTGCAAGTGCCGTCTTAAATTAGTTCCATCCGAAAAATGACGTTCGCAGATATTGCATTTAAATGGCTTCTCATTTGTGTGAATCCGCATATGTCTCCGTAAATTCCGTTTTGTCGCAAATGTTTTACCGCAAGTTGGGCATTGATGTTTTCCTTCCTTTTAAAAAATTACGTTGAAGAAAAAGAAATAATTAGTAAAAATTTAAAAATTTAAATCTAAATTAACTATTGTAATATAAATAATTATCACGCATTGAAAATTATGCTAAAATCTGTAATATGTGCTCTAGGCACAAAACGAAATTAAGATTGAAGGTGTCCTGTCGAAAATTTTTGAAAATCGTTGCCAAATTAAAAGTGTTTGACAAAATAAAGGTTCTACTCACCATTTCTGATGTTAATTAATTTAATTTAAATAGTAACTGCTGTGAATTTAGATTTTTAAATTAAATGTAGAAATTTCGGCAAGAATGAAGACAACAATGCCGAGAAATAATAATTTATAATTTTATTGTTGTTCGAAAGTGATTAAATGCGCATGATTTGAACACAAGAATACTGTAATTAGAAACACAGAGATATAATTGCATCTTATTCCTGCTCTCTCCTGTGCCTTTTGGCTGATTTAAGACATTTCGCTGTCACATTTATATTATTACTCATATTTTCAAATGTATAATAAAAAGTAGTTTTAAATCCGTACTTTATGCATTTTGGCATTTCACTCTGTTGACGTAGAGAACGAGTTTTTGTTTATCAATTTTGAATTTTTGTAAACGTTCACTGAAGTTTTCCCAGGAGGGATATGTAAAGACAATCACGATTAGAAAATGGTTTAACGGAGCCTTAAACAGAAAAATGAGTTAGAACGACACATGTATAGACTGCATCCTCAAGAGATTTTATGTAAAGTAAATATTACGAAAAGTTCTTATAAAGTAGAAACACCATAAACGTCTTCTTTATTGTTCACGGTGTCATTAAATTACTTCATGTTTGTTATTTTGTTAAAAATACGAATAATACTATTAAGATTGAATTTAGACTAGAGTCGATAAAACTTGAAAAACAGTTGTACGATTGTGCGTAATCTATATATATAATCGAGAACTGTTGATAATGATAATGATAATAATAATAAGCGCAGAGCCCAAACGGTTAGGAGTTGAAAGTTGAAATTTGGTATACAGTTAGGGTACGTTACGAGAACGCACACTAAGAAAGGATTTTTCGAAATTTTTCCCCACGGGGAGAGAGACACGATTAAGTTTTAACACTTCCATCAATAATGAAAGTGTTAAGTAACAGTGGAAGTTTTAAGTAACAATGGAATTGTTAAGAGAAAGCGACGTGCAAGACGCAGATGCAGTTTCTTTCGTTTTTGCGGAAAATCGAACATATTTTTAGAACCATCTAAAAATTCTCTAATTAGTCTGGAAACAGAGAACCTAATTCTTGCATTCTGTGACTGTAACGTAGTTATCTTAATCTTAGTTATCGTTACTTTTGCCCAATCAACGCCAGGCCTACCTGCTAGTTGCTATTATCAATAATAAAATTAGTAATATTTAGTAGTGTGTCGTCATTGGAAGCGATGGATGAGCCGTTTCTCTTGTATTTTCTTTAAAAAAATAAATACATAATTTTAATTACTGTATATGAAAATAATCGCACAATATTTTATTATAACCGCATTACTTATCTTATTACAAATTTCTATACTACATGTGAAAAAAAAGATAAGATTCCTATTGTATATTCGAATATTAGTAGCGGAGTGTAAGGCCGTATCGTCAGCATCCAAAAAGTCAGATTCTCGCATGCGCTTTACGGAGCAACAACCTCATCCGGTTTAGCCGGTGGAAGCCTAGGACCTTGGGTGGATGCTACACGTATACCGCATTCAATTCTATCCGGGACCGGTTCTGGGCTGTTAGCCACCTGACTGCTAGATATTTGGCCGCCCTCGCCCGATTACGCGAATCACGAGTAGATTTATAACTTAACCCCACCGATAAGAATTTACGTGTATGTTTTTATGATAGTTCTGTATAGTTGACAGGAGTTTAAAAAATCCATTAAAATATTTGATATTTTTATTCCGCTCTCTGATTTTATATTAAACCGGTCATTTTCAATGTTAAACCGGTGAAATTACGATTTCGTATATCTCATGTTTAATGGAATGTAGAAAAAAACGTGTACAATTCTTGTACAATGTTAAAAAATTAACCGTTATTTCGACAGCGTCATTTACAACTAAATTTAATGAATGAGAGAGATGCACGAAGTACAGAAAAAGCTCTAGAATTTATTTTTCTTACATTTACGATTTATGTATCCGTTTGTCATAAAAATTTGTCTTTCCACTTTTTTCCCGAGACTACAAATATTCGAGTACAAAGTAACTGGTTTCGGCTTATTTTTACCTAAGAAGTAGTTAAATAATTAATCGATTAGGGGATTGGGGACGTAAACAAAACCCTGACGAAAGAGCCTGAATTTTACTTAAAGAAAAGCTTAACCGAATCAATCTATAGCCGAGTACAGTAGACACTTATTTCTTCGTATTATTAATGTAATAAAGACAGAAATTTTTCCAGCTCGACGAGAGTGACCGAAAAGTTGTAAATTTTGGAAATTTCTGAGGACACTTGGTCCTAAAACGAATTAGTTAGAAAACAAATTACTTTTAAGTTTAACATATTTAGATTTTTACAGCTATGGTCAGAAACGTTTAAAATCTACAACAGCCCTGTCGCGTCCATTGAGATATACTAGTGATGCGACAAAAGAGGTATTTGACATTGACCGGTATCGGCAATCTGGGGATTTGGCAGTCCGTGTGTATGGGGTGGGTGCAGCCATTCGGCGGTGCCTCAACTCCTGGAGTTTTCACCGAAGGAACGTGCAACTTCTCTTCGGCGGCTCATCACAGTGACCTTCCACGGAACATTTTCCTTCGGATTACAAAGTAAAATATTCGCAGTGAGTACCCCTGCTCTCTTGTTTCTGTTCTGTACTTCAGTTTACGCATAGTTGATAATTTTTGGTGCCGGTCGTAAACTAGTGTGTTGGCCGGGCTCTTCCATTTTCCTCGCGCATCTGATGTAGACGTGGGAACTGATTCACACTGTGTCTCATCTGCAACCATGTCTAAGGACAATTTTTTAAATACTACCGACCAGCAGATGGCTGCATTCGAGGTCTTAGACGAAATCAAGGATTATCTGGCTAATAATAAAGACGCCAAAATTGGCAAACAGCAACATCCTAAATATATCATCAGAAGCGTTGAACGTATAATAGACATTTTCACCAACCACACTAATATACAAAAACTAGAAGCAATTTCTGCCAAGCTAGACCAATTAATAGAAGACAAAAAGGACAGCAAAATTTTGGAAAAACAGGATAATATCTTAGAAAAGCTAAACACCATGGAAACAGCAAAGACAACTGCTTTTACCCAGCCACTATATAGCACAGTGCTAAAATCAGGTATTAACGTAAACATGCCCTATAAAGCAGAACAAGCAACGCGTGCAGCTTCCAATAATGTCCTGCTGGTATACAGCAAAGATGAAAACAGCACTAGTGAAAAACTTCAGAAACTGCTGCAAACGGAAATCCAGCCTTCAGCTTTGAAAATTGGCGTCGATCGTATTAGAATGATCGCTGGTGGAGGTGTTGCAATTGACCTCGAAAAACAAGAAGATATAGCCAACCTTGAAATTAGCATTAGGGAAAAACTTCCTGATGTCAGTACTAGGCTCCCTAAGAAAAGGAAGCCTCACATGATTTTATACTCTGTCCCCAACCATGAGACAAATGAGTGCATTATAAAACGCATGTACGATCAGAACAACCTCATCCGAGAAACATTCTCTGAAGAGGAATTTGGTCAACAACTTCGAATAAAATTTACCACTGGGAAAAAAGAAGCCAAATTTAAAAATCATGTTTTAGAAGTAACACCTAAATTACGAAAGTACCTGCTAATGATCGGAAAAATCAATATCGAATGGTCCCGCTGCAGGGTGGGTGACTTCTGCCCAGTCCTGCAGTGCTTCCGTTGCTGCGCTTACGGGAATTCAACAAAAAACTGTGCCCACACTAAAAATACTTGTAGCCACTGCCACCAGGAACATTCATTTAAAGATTGCCCTAACAGAGAAAAGAAACCAGAATGTTGCAACTGCCTTCACGAGAAATCCGCAAACACTGATCATAATGCTAGAGACAGCTCCTGCCCAGTCTATCAAAGAACCAAGCTAAACATTTTCTCCATAACCGATTATGGCTCGGAATAATCAACAACAAATAAGTTTTCTCCAAATCAACTTGGGCAGAGGCATTAATGCCACTTCTCTCTTAACTGCCAACATCAACAAATATGACTTTATTTTCATTCAGGAGCCATATTGTCAAAGGAACATGACTTTATTTTCATTCAGGAGCCATATTGTCAAAGGAACATCCCTGCATGTCTTCCCACTTCCACTACTGTCATAAAAAGAACAACAAACTATCCCTGGGCTATCTCTGTCATAAACAACAAAAACTTTCCAATTCTTCTTCACAGCCAACACAGCAATGAGCACATTGTGTGCATTGAGACAAATATAAATAACAGCACCTTTATTATCATTAACGGCTACTGTCCCTACAATAACAATATTAACAGCTTCTTGGACCATCTCCAAGACACTATCAACAACCTTCAGTACAACAACCTTCTCCTTGTTGGTGATTTCAATTCACACTCCCCTGCCTGGGGGGGGGCGAGCATGTGGACGACAGAGGGACTGCCTTAGGCGATTTTCTTGCCACCAATAACTTAATTCTGATAAATGATCCACATTCCCCACCAACATTCTACAGTTCTAGGGGCCACAGCTGGATCGACATTACTGCTGCCTCATTTCAGTGCTCTAATCTCGTCACGGGCTGGAGGGTCCTACAGGAGGATTCACTCAGTGAACATGCCTACCTCCACTTTACGATAAATAATGTAAGTACCACTGGTAACACCGACCTTCCACTACGTTATAATTTATCACGTGCTGATTGGGATGGCCTCACCAGCCTCCTTCAGACAAAACTCACCACTTACAACCCCAGTGATTTCGATGACGCCAGTAATTTTCTTGACAGCTCTATTGAAAACATTAACATCGCCTGCAATCTATTCATTCCTCGTACCTCTCGTCGCCACAGGGCTGTCCCCTGGTGGGATGCAAAGCTCTCCGATATGCGCAAAAGTGTTAGACACCTCCAGAAGAAATATCAAAATTGTAGAAACGAACCAGAACGCAGCTACCTCAAAGAACAATACCTACAGAATCAGATTTATAAGCAAGAAATAAAAAATGCAAAGATCACCTCTTGGAGGAGCTACTGTACAAAAGCCTCCAGCAACCCCTGGGGCTATATAACAAAGCTCTGCATGGGCAAGCTAACAAGAAGTCACATCCTTGAAACTAGTAACAATGATAATTTAACAGACGTCATGAAGAAAAAAATAAACACCTTCTGCCTCAATGACAACCCTGCGGATGATGACACATGGCAACAAGATATCAGGAAAGCAGACTACCATAACATAATCAATCCAAACACCCCTCCTTTCGAACAGCATGAGGTGGATAAGATAATCAGTGAGCTTCCAGCTACTAAAGCTCCTGGCATTGATGGCATCTCAGTAAAACTTGTGAAAAAGCTCTGGGACTTGTTCCCTACTCAACTGCTGCATATCTACAACATCTGCCTGCAGCATGGCATTTTCCCGGAAGCCTGGAAGGTAGCCAAGCTGGTTCCTATTCCCAAACCTGGCTTGTCCACGTGCAGGCCGATTTCGCTCCTTCCCATTTTGGGTAAGGTGTTAGAAAAGTTAATTACCACAAGGCTAACTTGGCACGTGGAAGCCACGGATAGGCTCCACGGGGCACAATTTGGCTTCAGACACCAAAGGTCTTCTAATGACGCAATCCATAATGTCACCACCAATATTCGTCAACTCCTCAACCAGTACAAATATGTCTTAGGCATAAGCCTAGACATCGAGAAGGCCTTTGACAGCGTCTGGTGGCCCTTGATCCTCAAGGGGCTCAACAACGTAGCCTGCCCCACCAACCTCTTCAATCTTATCC